AGAAATTATTTTCTAAAATCAACATTTATTTTATTTATATTCATTTTGATATTTTATCCTTTTTTTTTGGTTGTGGGCGGGTTCTCAAATTAACCCAATTAGAATCGCCTTTTTGGTTTCAAGAGAAAGATTTTTTTTTTTTGGTAACAGTGTTGTCTCAATGCGAGTCCATTGGTGGTGTGGCGTGAAATGTTTCTTCTTCCTGCTGTTTGCTCACGCGGCACGTTTGCACACATCCGACAGCGCCATTAACAATCATTCCCATGACCCCGGGCCGTCAAAGCACAAGGCTGCATGTGTCCTGCGCCATAAATCAAACTCTCACTACAATTCAAACCCACGTACATTTAGTTCACACACAATTTAGGAAAAAAAAAAAACCCAAAATTTATTTGATGCTATTTCACACTGAGAGACCACAATTCAGCATGCATTATTTTCCTTCTATAAATACAGTATAGAAAAATAAACACAACCTTTTTTATTTTTACCCTATATCATAAGGCCAACATAAGACAAGATTATTCCCAGCGTCAGACAGTCCAAATAGTTTTGATATCTTTCTTAAGAGTTCTTACAATGTGATGTATTCATATTGTCATATACAGTATCGGATCAAAATATCGGGATTGCCGGCCCTTAATATGTTTCTTCTTCCTGCTGTTTGCTCACGCGGCACGTTTGCACACATCCGACAGCGCCATTAACAATCATTCCCATGACCCCGGGCCGTCAAAGCACAAGGCTGCATGTGTCCTGCGCCATAAATCAAACTCTCACTACAATTCAAACCCACGTACATTTAGTTCACACACAATTTAGGAAAAAAAAAAAAGCACAATATTTATTTGATGCTATTTCACACTGAGAGACCACAATTCAGCATGCATTATTTTCCTTCTATAAATACAGTATAGAAAAATAAACACAACCTTTTTTATTTTTACCCTATATCATAAGGCCAACATAAGACAAGATTATTCCCAGCGTCAGACAGTCCAAATAGTTTTGATATCTTTCTTAAGAGTTCTTACAATGTGATGTATTCATATTGTCATATACAGTATCGGATCAAAATATCGGGATTGCCGGCCCTTAATAAAGGCCATGCAGTCCGGTGCGTAAAATTTGACGTACAGTATTCGTGAACACACGATTGTTTCCCTATTTTAAATGAAAATGTTTATCGAGGTATCTGGAAGTGAAAATGCGCAGTTTTGCATAGATACTCGGAGCGGGACAAAGCATAGAAATTATATCTTTTTTGTTTGTTTGTTTTTTGTTCTTTTTTCCCCCCAATAATAAGTACAAAACAAAAACATACGTATGCTCAATTTGTTTGCACTTAAGTTACATACAGAATATATTGCGATCCAGTATGGCCAAGTATTCCAGGTTACTCCACTTCCAATGAAAATGTTTGACACTTATCAATATCGTGACGCATCAGTTGTAGCGATGGTATCGGTGTTTTTTTGGGGGGCGGGGTTCATGATGTCATGAAAGAAGATGTTTCTCTTATGTGTCACATGGACTTCATTGGTTTTCCCTTCTTCATTTACATCGATATCGCAATGTATCGTATCGTTCGCCTGATTGCCGATACTATTGTGATATCGTAACGTATCGCGTAATCACAGACTCTATCATTATCTTGCTTGCATCATTTGAGGCTGTTAGAACTACTTGTTGGACATATTTTTGTTGTCTTACCATTTTTTTTTTGGTGCTGCAATAAAGTAAAAATGCTCCGTTTTTTTAGTGAGACGAATATTGTGTGTATCCGGATATGCCAGATATCGATACATTGGTCAGAAATCCAAATATCTATAGTAGAGTTGACTTATTCCACCGATTAAGTTAGATAATGTCTAATTACGTAGATATTTATTGTTCATAATCACATTTTTGCCTATAGTATCGTGTTAAAGGCAATGCAATGAAATAAAATGCATTTAGTCTTCTGCGCACTTTTTCCCCACTTCGCTGATATCACGATGTTGCTGTCTGATGATGTGTTGGCGACGTATAGTGATAGATTGCTTATGTTTGACCTATTTTTGTCATCATATATCTTTTTTTTTTCGTAAAAATGTCAACGATAAAAAGGCTTTGCATGCAAAGTCTTCCTCCATGTCCCTTCAAGACCGCGGGCTGACGTCGCAGGTTCGATTGCGCTCGTCATCCGACGAACAGTCCGAGGAGTTGTAGAGGAAGCGGTCGCACTCGTCGTCGCTGTCCTTCAAGTCTCGTATCCTGCCGTTTTTGCTCGTCGTCGTCTTGCCGCCCTCGTAGTCCGACCCGTCGCCGTCTTGCTCGGCTTTGTCACCGCCTTGCCCACCCTTGCTGCCCTTCTGTTTCTCGGCCTCCTGTGCCGCTTGTTCCTTGGCCTTCTTGCTCCGCTTCCACTTCATGCGCCGATTCTGGAACCAGATTTTCACCTTGGGGCCGAGTCAGTACAAAAAAAAAATGCATTAAGTTTCAAAGCATAGGTTCTTAAAAAATGTGCCTACCAGCCAGGCTGGATGGACGCTTGGAGTAATTAATTGATAGCTGGAAAGATTTAGATCAGGGTTCTCAGACAAAACAGTTAGGAAGTGACACCAAGTGGAGAGAGGACCATGTCACCAATCTTCACATGCTGCAGAACTGTTAATGATCTCAATTGACTCCATTCATCAACATTAAGAAAGTTGGATTTGTTGTGGGGGGTTTTTTTGTGTATATATATATTTTTTAATAATGTGGCCCAGCCACACCCAAACGTTTCCCCCACACAAATTGAATTTGAGACCCTTGGTTTCGATAGAAAGATACCAGGATTGGACAGATGGACGAATGGATGGATGGATGCTAGGTCCCTTATCGCACAGGTGTCCAACTCAAGGCCCTGGGGCCAGATCTGGTCCGCCACATCATTTTATGTGGCCCTCCGAAAGAAAATCACGTGTGTCAACTTGCATGAACCTTGCTAAAAAAATGTACAGAAATGTCAAATTGTCATGTGTCATAAATGACGTTGAGATTTTGCAATAATATTGTTACCCTTACAAGTAATAATGCAATAATGAGATTAAACATCATAACGGCCCTCTGAGGGAAGACGCAACTCAAAAGTGGCCCACAACTTGGGCGGGGGTGGATGGATGAACGACAGTGTAGATCCATGGATGACAGAAACGATCGATGGACGGATTGATTGACAAATGGAGAAATAGATACTACACTATAGAGAATCGATGGATGTATGGCTCCATATTGTGATGGACAGATGCTTCGGTTTTGACCCTGGTGAACGGCGAGATGAATGGCATAATGGCATGTGTTGTTTTGTTTTGTTTTTTGGTGCTATACCTGCGTTTCGGTGAGCATGAGAGAGGTGGCCACCTCGAAGCGTTTGGGTCGAGACAGGTACTTGTTGAGTTTGAACTGGTGCTCCAGCTCCAGCAGCTGCTGGCTGGTGAACGCCGTCCTGGGCCGCCTGCACTTGCCCAGCAGGTTGGACTGCGCCTGAGCTGCATGTGCGCCGTTGCACACATATAAAAACACAACAGTCACGTTATGCAATGGGACTAAATATCATGAAAGTCATGTTCTGTTATTGTATCATCAGAACATTTGGGCAGGTAAAATAAGTTTCATTTTTTTTTTAAATACCGGTAATAGTTTCTCATCTCAAAATTTCAAGGTGGCCCAAATCAAATGCACATGATTCCATATACCTGTGAACGGAGCATTAAATTCCCGAAACAAAAAAAAAAATGTTTTGAAAACCAGACTCATTTATTCTACCTTATCGACAAGAACATAAATATGATTTTTGCATACAGAAAAAAAAAGATTCAGGCTCTACATGATAAATTAAAAAGAGGCAACACAGCACACCAAACCCAGTAACAAAATTGATTAAAAACAAGAGGCAAAATTATTCCAAGTTATCTATAACTTTTTTACCTATATCTATACTTTGAAAAAATATTACGACCTAACTACTGGTCGGTGATTCTCCGGCCAACTCATTCAATCCGAGATTCTTAAAGGAACAAGAGCCAGCTGACACCATAAATTTCAAAACCAAAATTAATTGTCAAAAATTATGCAAATTATCGCCAAGTTTCCATTTTTCCTTTTGAACCAAAAATGTTACATGACACTTTGTAACCTCAGTCAAGTGATTCAGATTCTATTAGTCATCACAGTAAAACGTTTTGAAAGTAAGGGCAAAGTTATGACAAATCACGTGACATTTTATATCCAAAAAAAAAAAAAACGTGACCACGAATGTTTGATGTCACCTAGCTAGCAAGTCTCGAAACGATTCTGACGCTAACAAAAATGAGCTGACCCCAAAACCCATTAAAAATAAGGCAAAATGTATTCTCCGTGGTGAGCAATTTGATGATCTATTTGTTTCTTTGTATGCATTTACACTTAATAAAAATGCAGGTGGGCGATTTCCCACCCTTGACTCAACAATAGCAGTCGTTTCAGATTCTAGAAGGAAAAAAAAAAAAATCCACGTGACACAGTAAAAACAACATCCCAGCAAGGTGTGAAAAGTGTCCACACAGAAGATGAACTCTACCCGGCACCATCCCCGCTGGCTCTTTTTTTTTTTTAACCCAAATCTGTTAGAAACGAGCTTGGACAAAAAAGGCAGTGTGCGTGGTGAGCAAAGTAGCATGTCCACTGTGGCTTTCACAGCCCACCACCACTTTCCCACTGTCCATTATCTGTCCATTTTAGTTCCTCTCCCAAAAATCATCCATCTGTGTCACCTTGTATGTGCGCACTCCATCATTCGCTTCCACTATACAAACATCGCCAACGTTTTTTTTTTTTTTTTTTTTAACCTCGACGTCGACATTTTTTTTTGGGGGGGTGGGTGGGGGGGGCAAAACATAGCACTCCTGCTGAAATTGTTAGTTCCGATATAATTGGGCCATTTCGTCATGATTATAGCATTTAGTATATTTTGCTAATATGCCAAAGTCTAATTTGATGGCAGAACATTTTTTTCATAAAATAATTAATCCACTATTACGTCAACATGACTGCAAACCACACTAAATAGTAATTTAACTTAGAACAACTTTAAGATTAAAACTATTAACATTTATGGCAACACTTGGTGTGTACAAACAATTTGCTGAGTTGTTTTTACTTCTGTCTTTAAGTTGGGGGACAAGACACTGAAAATGTATTTCTGTCAACTTTTTTTTCTTTTCTGAAATGCGGAAGAGGCCATTTTCATAGGAGCAAAACTTTAAATATTTTAATATTTACAGTGCGGTCAAAACGAGCACATAAAAAAGTCGACTTATGACAAGATGTCAGTTTTCATCGAAATCACAACTATAATAACAGAAGTCAGTTACAACACAATGGACATTTTTCATGGATAGCACGCCAAACCATTAAAAAATAAATAAAATAAATAAATGCGAATTAAAAACCAACACCTGAACGTTTTTACTTGAAGGCATAAGACAATAGTCACTTCGGGCTTCGAGAACGCAAATTAAATAACAATCAATCAGAACAATGGTCAGTAGTCATTAAAAAGTCAAATGAAAACCCATGATTATAATAATTATTCTGTTTGGATCAACAACCCACAACAACCAATGGTCAGTGTAGTAAGTATAGCCGTTTATTCATATAAAAATGATTACAATTTGAAACAAGTTTTAATTTTTTTGAAACAAGTTACTGTCGTCAAATTTGGTTGAAAATGGGTCCCACAACAGCGTAAACAGCACATTGTATGAAGCGGTCAGTCGCCATTTTGGCTCAAAGTTGGACCAGTTGATTCATAAATAATAATGATAATGATACAATGTGTGAAATCCTAATTGACTTGCTTATGATATTCAAAACATGTCAACTCAGTTTCAAAGAGGAAGTGAGGACTCCGTTTTTTTTTTTTGTTGTTGTTGTTGTTTTTTGCGATTGGTGAACGGAAGCCATTTTGGCTCAAAACGGGACCAACCAAAAAAATATATGTCTAATTTTGACGTTTTCGTTTATTACTGTATTAATATGAAAAACATGGCCACTTTGCTCAGCATACCACTAAAATAAATTATTACAAGAAATGTATATGTCGTTATTGTTTTTCTTCTTCTTTTTATTATTATTATTATTATTGTTATTATCATTATTATTAAAAGTACAATGGCAGCCATTGTGGCGCTTCCTGGGCCAAATAAGAATAAAAAAGAGAAGGAGATGTATGTTATTTTTTGATGGAACCGAGGCAAAAACATCTTGTAAGTTTAAGGCATTCAAATATTGGTAATAAATACATTTGAAGGCTGTCACAATTCACTTTTGCTTGACTTTTCTTTTCCTGAACGATCGCTCCCGTATCGTGTCATTCATTGTATTTGGGTTTTGGGAACCATGTTGATGCAAAAAGAAGTCACGATTTTTTTTCAAAATGCATGTGCTTGTTTGGACTAGTTTGAAGACAGACATATTTTAATGTAAATGTGTCCAGATAAATTCCTTCATATAAAAACGTATATAGCATTTGGAGAAAAAATTGGGACCACTGCAAAATGATCAGTTTCTTCGATTGATTAGGATATAGTAAAATTTGCATTTTTGTTTTCTGTATTTATATATTTCTGTCCTGACAATATCACTCCCAAATGCCATTTCATGTTCATTTTACGACAAAAAAAGTCATTTTGCAGAAAAAAACCCAAATGTAATATTACGAGATTTTATTACCACGCCCCCCAAGTACGAATTTGAATAATCCAATCTGGTCAGATAGGTTTTTAATTATCTTGTTCAATGGTTTGGTCCATGCCCTTGACTGCAATTGTGCTATAGTTTTACTTCCTTGCAAATAAAAATTTACTCACAGTTAAAGTCTGCCATTTTGGGCAGCATCATCCCGGCGGTGGATACCCGCAGCCAGTGGTCCAGCTGGAAGGTGCTGGCCGTCAGCTTGATGGGATCCCCCCCTGCGTGGTGGTGCTGGTGCTGGTGGTGGCCGTGATGGGAACCGTGCGGGTACGATGTGTAGGACAAGGCCGGGTGCTGGGCGGTGAGCGCGGCCGCCGAATACGCGTACATGGGGTGGCCGTAGAGCGCCTGCGCGGGCATCCCTCCGCCGCTGTTCTGGGGATGGAGCCCCATTACCCCGTGAGGCCCGCTCAGGAAGCTCGGTTTCGGGATGAGGCCGTGGGCGGAGAGCCGCGGAGGAGACGGCGTCTCCGCGCGGAGAGACTCCACGGGGTTGCTGAGCTCCGAGGCGGCGTTGGCGGTACCGGCGGCACCGGTTCCGGTTCCCGCTCCCCCTCCGCCGCTTCCTGGCGTCGTGACGAGGGCCAGAGGGGAAGTCTGCACTTTCGGGGTGTCCGCCGCCAACAGTGCGTCGATGCGGAAGTTTTTCGACTTCTCCATCTTGGAGGCGAGAGAGTACCGCGCGGAAGTTGAGACGGGACCCCGAGTGGGAATCACAAGTTCGGCGTGACACTTAATGCTCGTCCCGCTGATCTGATTGGCTGGAGGAGAACTAAACCCCTCCTCCGCCCCCTTAATGCGCTCACCCGCGGTCACCGTGCACCTTCCACCAAAAAGACGCAACACTGTCAAGTGGCTCTAACGAGGCGCCATATTTTACACCAACAGCTCCGTCGTTAAGATTCGTTTAAGGAATTAAAGTGCAGCACATCGGAAGGATTTCACACCCTTCAAGGTCACCCGAGGCCCGTTTGGGAGACTCATATAGTCATTATTATTATTTTAAATAGAAATACGTTACAAAAAAAAACAACATTCAGAAAAGAGAATCGCAGCAATGTTTTTTTCCCTGAATTAAATACATTTTGATGCCCTTTTTGCAGCAAAGAGTATATGTGCATCCTTGACTGAAATCTTCAGACGTGCAACGAAACGTTGCTGTTGTTATCATAGATATTTTATTTATTTCAAAACATTTTAAATTATTTTTTTCCAAATGAGAAGAATATGTGCATTGTGTCTGTAAGCTGATACATGTAAGCACGGGAAATATATTTTTCAATTAAGCCATTGAAAAAATAATAATGTGAGGATAATAACACGTCTAGAGAGTTTCAATGTGTGCATATGACTAACTTTTTTTCCATTTTATTAAATCCAAGTAACAAGGGCTGACCAATTACACATGCATTTTTAGGTGCTTGTTGGTGATTTTTTTAGAGATTTTAATTTTTAAAAGGAAATATTTTTCTTTCAAATAATGCCTTTCGCTTTTCTATTTCTAGCTTTTTCTTTCTTTCTTTTTTAATGGCTGAAAATATATTCTTATTCCATTATACTAATCGCGAGTTGTGAATGAATGAATATGAATAAACGACAAATTGCAAACTCATACTCGGCACATAAATGAATACGCAAGTCAGTGAATTTCCACCGTGATTTAAAATGCGAAACGAATACATGGATTTGGGATAATGTTCAAATAATCATTTACAAAACTGAATTTTGAATCTCGCTCGAAAGGTGAGCTGTCACTTTTCCCAATTGGATTTAGATGACAAATTAAAGAAAAGTGCAGACACGGGGTAATTCGGAAATAGGAGTAGGTAATTATTATCATCATAATAACCATCAGAAGGGGGGGGGAGAGAAAAATGGCACGTGCGAATACGCGCAGGTGCGAGCGACGAATTCGAGCGAAAGCGCTCCCGCTCTGGTCTAAAAATAAATAAATGGATCACACTGTAATACACGTGCGGTCGAAACGAATTAGCCGATGGACATACGTATGCGCGGTGACATTGCGAAGCACGTCAGAACGTGTGCAAAGCAGAAAAAATAAAGAGAAACTGAGAAGCGAGTGTCAAAATGAGGGCAATTTCAACGGCGATTCCGCGGCGGGCGGAATGGAGCGTGCGGGGTCTAATAAGCCACTTAAAGTTAATGGAAGAGGGAGGTCACCGCGAGAATTATTGACACCCCCGTTGGCCTTAACCTGTCTACCAATAAAGCTGATTAGTTTTGCCCCATTCGTCAGCGCCACGGTCGACGTTTTATTTGCTCAGGGGAAATCAACAAGTCAGCGGCCGCTTTTGCCGCTAAAGGATCGCCATTTAATTGCGCACCTCCATGATAAGCGACAGCGACGAGGACGCGGCGACGATGAGAAGGCAGAGATGGATGCGTGGGGGTTGTTGGGAGGACTCGTTTCCGCAAAAAAAAAAAAAAATAAATAAATAAAATAAAATCATATATATTCATGTTTCTGTATTTATTTTTTATCATTATTAAGATAGGAGGTTTTTTTTTTTCAATTTTCATTATCGTTTTTTAATAGCCAGATCTGACTGTGCATGATGATTGGATAGCCGTCTATGCCGTGCTGCTTTAATTCCATTAAACCCAGGCTAAAATATTTCTATTAAGGCTGCGGTGAAATGTGGAGCCATTTCCAATTGGCCCTTAGCGATTTATGACCCCGACTACAGACAGCCCCTATCACATCCAAGAAGGGTGGAGGGTGGGGGGATGGGAGGGTCCAAACCCCTCGTCATCCATGAGAACTGTTTGCCCCGTAATGACTTGGACAATTAGATACGAGACAAATCAACGTGACAAACAGCCATAGTTGATACATTATTAATTACAATATGTGCTCGTTTTGAAAAGCAAATTCCCGTTGCCTCTTTTGATTGACTTTTTCCCATTTGAAGCCACATTCGAAATCATCAACTGGACAAAGATTCTACCAACTGTCGGGTTTCCTGACGCTCGCCTAAATAAAGGCCGTTCACTGTACACTTCACTGGGGACACGGAACAATCAGTTATAAGTTTTTGAAATGGCATTAGAAGTGAATTCAACTTCAGTTTTTTTAATGATTATAATCCTTCAAGGGGAAGTTTTGCCAATGGCACATTTTCGTGGTATGAAAGAGGCATGGTCGAATTTCTGAGCTTTTGAACTTTATTTGGGGTTAAATGTTAGTAGACGTGGGCTGACTCAAATTTAACATGACTATGAATGTGGTTGGTTAATTCTGAGCACAGCCACATCCCCATTTATGAGAGGGTGTGTACATTTGTGCAACCACCTTATCTCAGCTTCCTTTTACTTCTCCATATTTTCTTTTGGTCAATTGAGCTGTACAGGTTACAGGCCGCATTAATTAATGGTGACATGATTTTTCTTGGACTCATTATCTTTTGCCGCAACAACCTGTATTTGAACAGGGGTGTGTACACTTTTTATATCCACCAGAGAAAGATGCTACTGTAACATTTGTACAACTTGTATAATATTTTTGACAGTGATTTATTGATGAATTATAATGCTCCGAAATATCATACTCCCAATCTCTGTGAGACATATGTTGATATGCATTATGTGGATGTATTTTTTTTAATGAAAACGAACTGATTTTAATAAATTGACTAATATTGGTCATATAGTCGTCTTTACATTACCATTTTATCCAGGTTCCTCGGTGAGAACGCTTTCGTCGGTGATATATTCACTTGACTCGGAAATTTGACTTCTTTCATATTTAGGCTTTGCAAAGAGGACCGGTGTAGCGCACACATTTCCTCTCGTTTTAATATTTCAGACAGTGTTTGTATCTATTATCGAGAGGATAAATAAAGTTCATTTGGTTTTATTTACCCTTCATACAAGTGGACTGTTTCCCATTTCCACTTTTGATTAAAAAATATCTATTTTAATTTTTGCACGAACGCAGCTCACGTGAACGCCATTATTGACGTATGTTTCGTCCAATCGCCTTCCCCGACGTAACAGGAAGCGGAAGCAATCTCTGCTTCCCACCAGTGTTGTGTTGAGTGTTGACTTCTTGCGACCGGAGGGAAATAAGTCGTTCAGATTCAGCTCAAACCCCAAAACAATAATTGTCCCCACGCAGCTCACACGTCAAAGGTAACCGTTACACCTGCTGTCAATGTTGCAGCTTCAGTTTCATTCCGTGTTGCTGTAACAAACCTCCCAAAAAGGGAAACCCCTCCGTGAAGGTAGCCCTTTTGCGTGCTACCTTCTCGGCTACCCAGTTAGCTCCGTCGATAACGTCAATATAGTGGTGCTGCGCGAACACGCCTGTCGATAAGCTTGAAACGCGTCGCTAATATGCACATTTCGCTCCCGATTTCCCGCATATTCCATTATCAGAACGTAGACGACCGCGTTCGGATCCTGTTTGCTGAGTCATTTGCTAGCTAAGGAAGCCGGTTTAGCTGTATTCGAAGTCGAATCATAATGACATTTGACAGATAAATACCCTTGAAATAAATCACCCAAGTTGCGTGTGATTAATTCATTTTGTACCATAGTTTCTCAATTACAACTAAATCCCAATCAACTTTGAGACGTGTCTCCCACGACCTTGTGTTTACACCTTGACTTTGTCCTCTTTTTTTTTCGAAGCAGGGAAAAGAGTCAATCACGCCATCAGTCAATGGGAAAGAGGTGAAAATGTTTAGCTTCGAGGGCGAATTCAAGACGAGACCCAAGGTATCACTCGGAGGAGCAAGTAAAAAGGTAATATGTGGGTGGTGGACCCATCCCGAGATGACACGTTCAGTCATATGATAAGAGCTGGGTGTTTCAAACACTAAGATGGACTTTTAATGGCTTCCATACAAATAGTTGAGTCACTGGGGTGCCAGCCACAGATTGTGTGTGAAATTACACAACTCATTTTGATCGCTGACACAAACACTTTCTGTCTTGAGAGTGTATCTAAAAAGTCTACACACCCCCTTTCAAAGCTTGTTGTGATATCAAGAAATGAGAGCAACGCAAGTCATTCCAATTTTTTTCCCTCCACAATTAATGTAACCGGTATAATGCAACTGACAAATCTTTTCCAAACTGCAAGTAGAAATAAATAATGGTTGCACAAGTGTGCACACCCCCTGATAAACTGGGGAAGTGGCTGTTCAGAATTAACCAATTATATATAAACTCATGTCAAATAGGGGTCAACGCACACTTTTCACAAGTGCCTTGATTAACACGAAGTCAGGTTTGGCTGTTGTTGTAGTTGGCAATTTTTTTTTATACCACAAAAACCTGTCATTTTAACAAGGATTTTTTTTTTATTCATTGTATGTATTGTATATTTTTTTAATGTGAAGTGACTAGTTATTCACTGTAAATCGAGCTTTTGTGTGTGTGTGTGTGTGTGTGTGTGTGTGTGTGTGTGTGTGTGTGTGTGTCTCCCAGGGAGAGAAAGCCTCTAAGCGAAAGCATCCCTGCTGCATCGCACTCAAGAAGAAAGAAGAAAACGAGAGGTGACTAATTGCGTACCTGAAAAGTTTTTGAACGTTTGGCTGTTGTGTCTGAATTTCCTTTTTTTTTTTTTTTTTTTTTTTTTTTTATTTTTGGGGGCATGTCTCCGGGTGGGGGTCATGTCTCAGGATGAGAGAAAGCGACTGAAGAGCGCCATCATCATTCAGTCCTATGTACGTGGCTACCAAGATTTGAAACGACAGGTAAGTTCTTGTGCCAGTCTTAAAAAAAAAAAAAAGACTATTCTTGTAATAATACAATTTTAATCTTGAAATTCGACAATTTTATCCTCAAAAATATTTGATTCACGATCGTGTAAGTGGAGAATTTTTTCCCTCCATAAATGGAAACAATATTTTCTTGGGGTTCCGTTTTCAATCTTTCAGTGTATTTATTTTTCTTTTCTTTGCTTCTCATCCTCTTGTACTACTGTTGTTAAAACGATCCAAAGTTGTGCCTAAATGTGATTTTGTTTTTTGTTTTTTTGCTCTATTTTTCTTCAGTATGCAATACAGAGGGCCACTTTTGACGAGTGCGCCAACCAGACACCGCACATTTTGGAAGCGCCCACTCTCAGTCTGTTGTCGAGGCGGCTCATCTTTTTCTACAGACAGAGCGTGGATGCAAATAGATTGGTGAGAGGGCAGCTTTTATGAGACTCTCCTTGCTTTGTCTCTTGACTCCAATGTTTTTTTATTTTTTTGGGGGGGTGCGTTTTATTGCAGATATGGCTGTGCCAGAACCTGGTGAAACACAACGCTCAGTTTGTTAAATTTCTGGTGGGTCCGCACAGGCAGACGTGTATGTTTCAGATCAAGAGGATCCTGGGGTTTTGCTGCAGGTACCTCGGCAGTGTAATTCTGACGTCCTTTTGCGGTTCAGGGTTTAAATCTCTGCTCTGGCTGCATTTCTCAAAATAAATATGCAACTCTATGACATACCACGTTTCAAATGTGTTTCCTACTAGACTCCTTCAGAGCTGCGGCGACGACAGCTTAAACGTGGCCGTTCCCATGCGGATGTTAGAAATCTTCTCCTCGGAGGGAGTCTACTTGCCCGTGTTGGCCGACGCCAGCCACGTGGCGTCAACAGTCGAGCAGATTTTGCACTATATGGTCCAGAAAGGTAAGCAAAGAAGCGACGGTAGTCTAGATCAGGGGTCCCCAACCCCCGGGTCGCGGACCGGTACCGGTCCGTGGGTCATTTGGTATCGGCCCGCACAGAAAGAATAAATAACTTACATTACTTCCGTTTTCTTTGTTTGGGAATCTGAAAGATGTTTTGTTTTGAAAACTTACCGGAGTCTCTGTTACATCCGTCTACAATATGTCACTCTTGACGCGGGCTGAGACGCGCTTCTCGGTCACGTGATAGGTTTGCGCTAAAATGAAACCCAGGAGCTAGTAAAATGAGTAAAAAACAAACGTCTTTGGAAAGTTTCTTTGGGAAGGGGAAAGGCTCAGCCAGTTGACAGAAGGGGAGTTGACGACTTCCAAGAAAAAAAAAAAAAAAGCTACATTTAATTGACAATATCCAGACAGAAGGGGAGTCGACGACTTCCAAGAAAAAAAAAAAAGCTACATTTAATTGACAATATCCGGGGTCCTACTTAAAATACGGATTTATCTCAACGGGAGAGCCCCACGCATCAAGCCCACTCTGCATAATATGCGGCGATGGTGAGTCATATTTTTCATGCCCTTTGTATCTTATTTTGAAGGCAGTTTTAAATGTCAGCCTCGCGACCAGAGAGTGTCGCGGCCAGATAGAACGTTCCTCGTGTCATGATTCATGTTTCTTATGATGTTTTGAAATTATTTTGTTGTATTTATCTGTCACACCTTCAAGGCCGGTCCCTGAAAATATTGTCTGACGTTACAGGCTGCGGGCAGTTTATCATGTTATCAGGTTACAGGGTGCATGAAAGTCATCTCTGTTAATTGTGGATTTTGTAAGATAAAAGAAGACGTATTCTGCCTCGATTTAGCCGAGATCAAGTCCATCCTGTGATGACTACACGAAGCCGGTTGCTTTGAAAATCTCATTTGTCGTCGTTCTTTTTCAGGATACTACAGGTCGCTGTACGTTTTGGTGAATCACCGCCTCCCTCCCAGTCTGGAGTTCACCAACTCTCCTTCCATTCCCTTGGCAAGCACACTATTGGAGCACATCCTCAAACCTTTGCACTTTAGCTACTCCTCCTGCACAGCGGGCGCCAGGTACGTTTTTTTTTTGGGGAGTATTGTTTTCCTCCTGGAGTCAATTTACAACAAGCTGTAAAAGACCCCCGCCCCACCCCTACCCTAAAGTCACGTTCTCCCCTCCGAGGAGAATACGCGACTGTTTGCCTTAAGTCGGAAACATTCTTATGAGCAAACGTCGAGGTGGGGGGGCTTCTTTTCTTCTTTGAAGAAAAGCAAGGTGGGAGCAAGAGGAACTTGTGTACACACATAGTCTGATAGCTCATTATATGACTTCGGAGGGGTGTGAGGGGGGTCCCCCAGATGTGAGCCAGACAAAGCAGCTCTGTTTGGTGAGATAATAGCCGAGTGGTCACTTAGCTGACTGATCAACACACCTCACACATCATAAAGTCTGCACCGCTTTTGAATTCTGAAGCGGTGCTCAAGTATTTAGTTTCAGGAACTTCTTAAAGTGGAGATTTTTTTTTTCCCATCATCCTAATTCCAGTCAAACATCAACAACTCCCAAGCGTTTGCCCTGTGTTCTCTCATCGAATATTTTCCTTTGCCCGTTGTCCTGCCAGGCATTTTGTCTTCTCCGCCTTCACCCAAGAGTTCATTTCGGCGCCCTTCACGGAGCAGATCTTTCACTTCTTCATCCCGGCCTTGTCAGACACACGGCTGGCCTTCCCCTTCGAGGCCTTTCTCAGCTCCCTCCAGGACACCGTCACCTCTTCCCCCGTCGCTCGGAACCGCGCGCCCTGGATATTTTACTTTGTCCTTTCCGCAGGAGAGAACTGCTTAGGTGGGTCGCTTTCGAAGCATCTACCGACCAAGCTCCAAATTTAATGATGGTTTCTGTTAGCTGTCATCGCATCTGACTCAATATATGATTCATAACGCATGTCGGGGGGGGGGGGGGGGTGTGTTGCGGAAAAAAGAAGGCCTGCTGCTATATCTAAGTGCTCTCCAGACGCTGCTGCCTCTTTTGCCCGTAACTGAGAGCTGCAGCCGGCCCGAAGTGGGCAGCGATTCGGAGGACGAAGACGACGCCGTCGTGCACCCGCCGCCCATGAAGGTAACCATAATGCACACCGCGTGAGGTATTGAAATTAGCTTTCATCGACCTAACAGCCGTCCTCCCCCTCTTTCCACCAATCAGGATGACAGTCACATCTCCCTGCAGCTGATCACCGACGAATGCGTGCGCAAGCTGGACACCAAACAGCAGACCAACACGCTGCTCAACCTGGTGTGGAGGGACTCGGCGAGCGAGGAGGTGTTCACCATGATGGCGTCCATCTGTCACACGCTCATGGTGCAGCATCGCCTTCTGGTTCCCAAAGTCAGGTGCACATCGGCAACTAAGAAAAAAAGCAAAACAAGCTGTCCTGTTTTATGTAATATGTCAGGAAAGCAGCTGCTCACCAAGGTAGACTTCATTTGCGCCAGGATCAAAGGTTTAATCTTTGCCAACCTTTAGTGAGTTTACAGTATTTCACAAAAAAAGTCACAAATATTTATTATTTTTTTTTAATTTGGAATCTAATTGACATAATTCAAGCACGTAAAGGTGGTTGGTGTCCATAAAGATACCGTACTGCCCATATTGACAAGGCAAGGTGGCTTTATTTAACTCAGTTTATACACAAGGTAACTCAATGTGCTTCACAAAATTAAAAGTACAACAGTCGAAGACGGTTAAAAGCAAAAGTAAAGTTTAGCAAAATGACTAAAGGAACAAAGAGTGTGCAAGAACAAGATTTTGGAATTCATGATATCGGAGAAAAGCATCGTCAAATGGCAAATACAGATTCTGTTACCGTGACGACCGCAGCGGAGCGAGTTCACAAGTATTTGCGGTGGTTTATGGGGAAAAAAGCGAGCACTCGTAAAGACAATCAAGGCGTTTTCACTTGTAAAGGCAGCACTTCATCCCTAGACTGGGTGAATGTGGCACACGGACGCAATATGAGCATCTCAAAAAACTCAATGCAGCTCTGCTTACCTTTTGCCTTTGGACACAATTGAAATGCAAAGATCTGCGCCCTCCCTTGCTTATAGTTGGGCATCAACATTTGATTCGAATCGAGGTTGTTCAGCCTTGCAAGATATCTGTGCTTTCTTTTTTTCACTATCAAACTGAATGATTATTTTATTTTTCTATTTTATTTTACTATTAAGCAACACTTATTTCTCCGTTTATGTTGGTGGGATTAACATAAGTGCATCTGGACACCTTTCCGCGCAGTAAGCAGGAATGTAAATAACGGCGCAAAGAGAGAGAAGGGGAGGGCGTCGGTCGGCCGTGCGCAGCTCGCTGGCATTTACAACCGGCGAGAGGAAGCAGAAGATGTCAGTGAAGCTGTCAGCGTTGGATGAGGGCAATTACCTCTTCTCGGGGCGGCGGGCGGGCGGAATTACATTAGGGCCAGGATGTCAGAGGTGCTGATTGCTCCCGTGTCTTTGAGGCACTGTGCTTGGTCAACTTGCTTCAGTTAATCATTAGTAAAAGGCCCATGATTTGTATGTGTGCGGTTTACTTAAACCAAGAAAGGTTAAGTGTGCAGCGGGACGCTGGGATTTTACTTACGAACGTCTCTTCATAGGAAATTTTCAAGTTACGAAACGCCTCAATAGGAAAATATTGCCCCGAAGATTGGATAAGATAAGATACGAAAGGTAAAAATATGGGCCGCTACTCGCAGCTCCGAGTTTCCTGAACGCAATACAGTTATAGCTGCTCTGCCATTGGCTATTACCGAGCATCTTCCTGACATCCCATTGGCTAAGAGGGACCTCTCTCGTATGTGTCTTATGTGTGTAGATAGATAGATATGTGTTTATGCGGCGTCCTTGTCATTCGCCCCTCGGGCCATGAGGTGTTCCGATGGTTTTACGTAAATGTGAATCGCCCGGAAAAAGTCTTCACCAGTCGGGCGATCGCTCACTATGCTAATGTTTGCCTTGGACATTTTCAAGAGATTGTTTAAAGCCGACAAAAGCAAATGTCCTCGGATCAGTTCTTTACAAAACGCCAGGCAAAAACCACTTCTGAGAGAGAACATGGACTAAAGCGGGCAAAAAACGATGAGGACGCAGTTAAAAGTTGAATGACCATCATTTTTTTTCACATTATGCACAACTCTCATTCATTGTGCACTAATCTATGTATTTGCTCCATATTTTGATGCATTTTTATGCTTCATAAAACATTTATGTCTGAATTTTGAGGGGGCTTGGAACGGATTAGGGCATTTACATGAAAAACGTGTCTCTACTTACAAAATGTCCTAGCTAAGAAATTTTCTTCCAGAAAATGTCAATTTCGTAACTAGAGGTACCACTGTATTGAGAAGTTAATGGACGGCCAGCAAGAAAAACGTAGGGTTTTTTTTTTTTTTTTTTTGTAGTAGTAGTAGTAGCAGAAGCTGACTCAAAATGGAGGCCTCTAAAAAGTAGCCTAACCTTGAGAATGATGGCAAAAAGCAATTAGTAGCCAGCTGGTTACTCCATTCCAACAGTCGGTTGTAGCTACTAAAATATGGAGAATATTAAGCTAAACAGAGCTTCAACTGGAAAATAAGTATCGATGACCATATTTGGTCACTTCACCCTTTCAGGGACAGCGGTTGCTACAGTGGACAGTTTATTATCATCTCAAAATGGACGCCTTTTGTGTTTTGTTTTTACATTCCACTGATCTGCTGTCGCTAATGAGATAACTGACGATTCCGTGCTTAAAATTTACAACACGAACAAGACGGTCGACTCATAATTGGAGATTTTCGCCTCTCCGGGAGAATCTGAAGCTTTTAATGCCCATCATTTTTTTTTTTTTTTTAAACGGCGTCCCTCGTTTTCTTCCTGCTACTTTTCCCATAAATCCTTGCCCCTTCATCTTCCATCATTATCGGATATCTGTACAAAATAATTAGCTCACCCAGGAAGATTAATCACTGCCGGAGTGGACGGGATAGCTTTACAAGAGGCTAAGCGGAGCAAATTGCATCCTGGCCTTGATTTACTGTGCTGATCCACTGAAGGAGGGCGGGGGGGAAGAAAAAAAAGTGGCTTTCTCAGTTGGTCTTGCCAACCTTGTGCTTTTTTTTTTTTTTCATAAATATCCGCAAAGTCAGAGCGCGATTAAAACCCGACTCGGGACCTCTAATAGATTTCAATTGCTTTTCTAATGATCCCCTCGCCCGTCTTGTAATGCCATTTTGATGGTTCGCATTAGATATTTACTGTCGTTTAGCGACGTGGCGCGACGTGGGGGTGGGGGGGGGTCTACTGACGTTCGCTTTGGGATGCTTGCTGTGTTTTTTTTTTTTGTTTTTTTTTTTGATCGGTTTTGGTCGGTGTGATCGTCACTTTGGATGGAAATAATCCCACCGTGATTCCTCATCCAGTGTGTTTTTTTTTTCCAGCTTCCACCCCCTTTTGACTTTGTATATTATACTTTCATTCCGTGATTGAAAAGGGGGTTTTGTGGGGGGGGGGGGGTCCAGCGGGCTGTAAATCAGCTTGTCAGCTGGCATTTAGTGCTTTGTTTCCCATTTCAATCAAAACACTCACGGAGCTTGTTATGAGCCCGCTGCAGCACTCTCCTCCCCGAGCTTCTCTCCAGAGCCTTGTAGCACTGACAGATGGCGCGTGGCGGGCCGCCGACCATTTTTCAAGGCCGCCTTATCGAGTCTCGGGTCAGCTCCAAGGTGGGGGGGTTGGCGGCGGGCAAGGGGGGGCGCGGCCGGGGGCGGCATTTGAATCGGTTGATTGGAGAGCTGGAATTTAAGCTGCGCGTTTGGATGAACGCATGTCCTTGCTTCCCGCAACATTTGCCGCCCTGTCAAAACAAAAGCATCCACGTATTAAAAGTCGAGACAACCCTCTTCAAATGTCAGTTTTTTTTTTTTTGGTAGATAAATCATTTTCAAACCTTTTCCATTATTAATGTGACCTATTAAGTCCATGAACCGCACAAGTAACAAAGAGAGGGCGAGGTAAGAATAAAATAAACACTTGAGGGAATTATACTTGGGGGTGTGGCTATGTTAGGAATCAACCAATCACAACTCATCTTGAACGTTAGGATTGCAATTATTTTAATAGGTTCATCTGTCAATTATTTTTCGATAAATCGGATTACAAACACTTAAAAAAAAATCCATCAATTTATCCAAAAACACGACATTGATTACTTTTCGACAAATCGGATTACAAACACTTTCTTAAAAAAATCCATCAATTTATCCAAAAACACGACATTATTCCCAACAGTCAGTGAAGAAAATGCACAAACATAAAACAAAAATGATTCAGTGACTGGTTTGGTGCATCACACGTCAGAAAACCGGCAACATAGTCAGTGAAGAAAATACACAAACATAAAACAAAATGATTCAGTGATTGGTTTGGTGCATCACACGTCAGAAAACCGGCAACAATTGTGATCATTGTTTCGAAAGGAAAAAAAAAAAAACAAATGACTGCAAATGTTTTATATTGATTGAGCACAAAGATGACCCCGGTCATTGCATTTTATGACATTTTTTTAGTCAAGAGATCCAAATTACACATTTCTAGATTAATTTTCCTAATCCCACTTGTTTTTTTTCTCGAGCATGTTAGGTTTTTGTAACATTAATATGATAGCAATAATATATGTGATGTCATACATTTTTTGTAACGAATATGAATTCGGAGTTAAGTTCAGAAACAGGTGGAATTTTTTTTTCACAGAAATTATGCATGGCAAAATCCATACATGTCTTACAGGACAAATTTAAAACCAAAAAAGAAAATCTGAAAAACCTGATGTGCTTGGAAAAAAAATTGACATTTTTGAAATTGGCTTCAAAAATTTGTTTCAGGAAAAATAAAATTTCTGATTTCAAAAACCTGATGTGCTTGAAAAAAAATTTGACATTTTTGAAATCGGATTCAAAAATTTGTTTCAGGAAAAATAAAATTTCTGATTCAAATTCGCTTGTTGATCTGCTTCGATTAAGGAGTCTAAAAATCCGATTTGCTGAGGATTTGAACCATTTTAAATTCAACAACGTCCCTCAACGATTCATTGTTTCTCAAAATAGTGTCCGACATTTTGAGAATTGACGAGTTGTCCACTAATCGATGAGGTGTTGCACCTGTAGTTGAATACAAGTATCACCTAATTGCCACCATTTAACCCTTTCATGCACCCTGTAACCTGCTAACATGATCAGCTGTCCACTGTAGTAACTGCTGTCCCTGAAAGGGTTAAAGTGCCTCTAAAAGTTTGGCTGGTCGAGTAGGCTTTTCGTGTCATTTTTGTTGCTTTCGAACAAAACACCTGATGTTTTCTGCTCAAAGTGACTTCTACTTGGAATTTCAAGGACCTTGACCCCCCACCACACACACACACACACACACACACACACACACACATTGGGTATACACAGTGTCGTGGACGGTGTGCTTAGATTGTCCTCTTGGGCTCAGAACTCTTTCTTCTACAGTCTGGGCATGGAATAATGGTTACAATAATAAAAGTTATGGAATGCAAGTAATTTATATGTGACAGTTGAGTGAGAGATCCTAAATTTGATGGAAGTGTCTTAAAAAAGGTCTTAAATTTCTCTGCAGTTACTTTGCATTGTACGCGGGGGCTGCTGGCCTACTTAGCACAGTATCGTCACCTGCTCTTGACCGCCGTGTGAAAAGCGATGCAGTTTAGGAGCTTCCACAAACACACCCCCACACGCACACACACGGAGGCCATGAACAAAGAACCGCTTCGCACCTCGGCGCCACAGCCTCGCTACTAAAGGTGAGGTATGCGGGGCCCTCCTCTGTGTTATCATGGAGTTCCCATGGCGCGTTTGGCACCGTGAGGTCACAGCGAGGACCTCACCGCCTCCTTCTCCGGCCTCCATTGTCTTGATCTCCCTCCTCAGCCATTAAGTTAAATGGGGGCTCCAGCAGGAAGCCGCAGAAGGCTGTTTATGACCCCTCCTTTCGCAGCAGCAACTAGTTTACTAATGGAAGGTGCCTCGCCAAAATAAAGCTTAATGGCTCATTTCATCTCCTTTTGGAAGATTCCACGTTGGCGAACGGCATCGTTTATTTATCGCATGTCCTCGCTTAGTTAACGGAGCGCACAAGCTGATGCATCAGCGGAGAGTCGTTTTACGGTTCTTCCCACCGGGCTGTCAAAGCACCGAATGATGACTGTTGACATTGAACGCAACCTCCCCTTCCTCTTTTGTTCCCCTGCAGACTTCTGTACAGTTTAGCCTTCAACGCACGTTTCCTGCGGCATCTCTGGCACCTGATCACCTCCATGACGACCAAAATGATTACCGGGTGAGCTATTGCAGATTAACACTTTCATGCACCCTGTAAACCCAGAGGTCCCCAAACTACGGCTCGCGGGCCGATTGTGGCCCGCTTCTACATTTTGCTCGGCCCCCTGAACAATACCAGAGATGCTTATTTTTTGTTGTTCTTGTTTTTTGTTTTCCCCCCCAAGTCTGGCCACGTGATCGAGACTTGTACATGCATAGAAAGGAACATTCTATGCCACCCTTCTGCAGTCTGTGCCCTATCCGAACCCCACCTCGACCCCACCAAATAAATAAATACATTCCGCGATGCACCCCTGTCAAATAATAAAAAATGGACTAATGGCGAAAAGATTATGTCAGAGGAAAAAAAAAGATTGGTTATTATTTATTTTATAAATCGTGCCCGTAAAGAGCCCCCAAAAAGGTGAATATCTGGTTGTATGCGGCTTTTTGGAAAACAATCAAAGTTGATGTCAAGACACCTCTTGCGATCATCACACTTTTTGTTACAAACCGAACGCGGCCCCTATCAGAGAAGGGAAAATTTATTTGGCCCTCACAGGAAAAAGTTTGGGGAGCCCTGCTGTAACCTGACACCACGATAAGCTGTCCACTGTAGTCACCGCTGTCCCTGAAAGGGTTACGCAGCCATATTGTTGATATCGTTTAAGCTAAACTGCCCTACGCTGCCGATTCTTAGCAGCACCCTGAAATCTTAATGCACGCATCCTGGAGGGTAAATTCCATGAAACTTCATATCCTCTTGTCCCTCAGCTCCATGGTTCCACTGCTACAGCTGATCTCGAGAGGCTCGCCCATGTCCTACGAAGACTCCAACCGCATCATTCCGCTCTTCTACCTCTTCAGCTCCCTCTTCAGCCACTCGCTCATCTCCGTGCACGACAGTGAGTTTTTTGGACACGAAATGGAAGGTACTGGTTCTCCTGACACACACCTCGCTCAAGAAAAGATTTTTTTTCCCCCAGCCACCGTATTCAAACAAGCTTGCGTTTCAACAGGTCAGAGGCAATCGTCCATGATGCCTTTCACCCTTTTGGAGCTGGTGACTCTCTCCCGCTGCCTGAGGGACGCGTGCCTCGGGATCATCAAGCTGGCCTACCCCGAGACCAAGACGGAACACCGCGAGGAGTACATGGCGGCCTTCCGCAGCGTCGGCGTCAAGACCAACACGGAGGTGCAGCTGCGCATCCAGGCCGAGCAGAAACACTGGGTGCAGCTCTTTAAGGTCACTTGCGTGGATATTCTTAAACACACAGACACGGGTGGCAAAAGTACATGATCCTATTCATCATTAAATTATTCATTCTTCGTCCTTACTTAGAAGACAATTGAGTACCCGTAATACCAGATTACTGTCGTCTGGATATATTTCGAAAGCGACGCTGATCAGCGCATTCTGGACAGCTGTCGATTTATTAGGAAGGACATTTGCATGAGTGCATTGTCAGGGCTTCGCTGCGTGGAGAGTAACCGGGGCATTGGTGGAAATTGAGCATAAACGAATGAATGGGCACATACGAGGAGGAGCATCTGTAACGGTCGTCCGCTGGCTATTTACGTAAAGGAAATGAGTCAGAAAATCTCTCTCTCTCTCTCTCTCTCTCTCTCTCTCTCTCTCTCTCTCTCTCTCTCTCTCTCTCTCTCTCTCTCTCTCTCATTCCGCATCTCTTGCTCTAATTACGCGGAAAAGTGATTACCTTGTAGCCAGCTGCCGAATGTAGAAAGTGACCGCCCCCTTTTACGGAAGGTGGGTGAATACCTGAGAAGCCCGCTAGGGGGGTTGATTTTCATAAAAGATTGTCTCAAAGGCCTCTTGTCAGCTAAAACGACCCATTAAAGAAGTGGGGAGCAGAGAAAGTGCATTTTCCAAATTGAGCGCTGGGATTTACAGTCGCTTTAACGCTGCTGACCCCTAACACGCTAATGTTTGCTTGGTGTCATCAGCCATCCCTCCCCATCTTTTATCGCCACCCATTGTCGAGCTATCTATTTAATTGAAAGAAGCTAATTGAATGAAAATGATCAACTAAGCTTGTATTAATATTGCTAATGGAACTTTCTTCTTGGCCATGTTTGGCGAACCATGTCATGCCGGAGTTTGGGAAAGGCCCATTAAGGCTCGCACTTAACCCGGGCGGGCTGATTAAGGAATGCTTATTCATTCTGGGAGTCAGTGGCTAGGCACACTCCGAACCCATCGCCGCGCTCCATTTACAGCATTTTGCACTCGCTGTTATTGCCGACGCCGTACGATTGATTGGCGGCTTATGAAAATGACGCTCTTTAGGGGAGAACTCTGCAATTTAGACCCATCCGGCCCACGCGTTAATATGGAAATTGTACCACCGTAACTGTTATGACGGGACATAAGAACTCTTAGGAGAGGTCTTTGTGCAGTGACGCGAAATGTGGCTGTGGTTTGCACCTGAAAATTCCAGGAACCATTCGTTCTTGATACCTGGTAGTTGTCTACTGCCACTCGCGTTGGAAATTTGCTGTAGAACTTAAAATAAAACAAAGTGAATTCTGTCTAACTTGGCCTTACGAAAGTCTGCTAGCTTATTGCTAACACACGATGCAAAATGCCATCGATGGGCTTATGCAATTAGCATCAACGATCCGATTCCTTTAACCTGGGAATTTGAACACAGAGGTGCAGCAACACATTTAGACAGACAATCTAACAATACTCACACAAGACAAAATGTACCGGCTACCAAGTCTGCTCAAGCACGGTTGAAAAAACCTTTTGTGACGACATCTTAAAGTGACCAACAAAACGGTCTAGTTCAGGTTTTTCATGGAGTCCATTGACCTAATTTCTTCATTCTCAAATTGCTTTTCTCCGCTATCTCGCCTTCTTTCCCCCCAAAAAAGTACTACCATTTCTTTCATTTCTTCCAAACTTTTTGCTTGTGCTCCACCAGGTCATCACCAACTTGGTGAAGATGTTGAAAGCTCGCGACATCCGACGACCTTTCTGCCCGTCAGGTCACTGGCTCTCTCAGGAGGTCAACATCCGAGCTGACAAGGTGCTTCTTGGTTCGATAAAAAGTCATTTCATTCACTGAGCTTGAAAAAGGCCAGCAGTGATCACGGTTGGTGTTGCTTGCCTCCATGTTCAGGTCACTCAACTCTACGTGCCGTCTGCCCGACACGTGTGGAGAACGAGAAGGATGGGCCGCATCGGACCCCTTCAATCAACACTGGATGGTACTATTTATTTATTATTATCATGAATTTTTTTTTTTTTTTTTTTACTTATCGTGAAGACTAAAGTTAACTTTAGTAACCAGGGTGCCTGAAAGGGTTAATGTGTAAGCAAAAAAAAATCAGAAAAGAGCTAATATTGGCCAATTAAATCAGTCAGGCCATTAATCGGTCGGGCCCTAATCCTACTTATCAAATGTAATGTTTCGAAATTAAACTGGAAATACATATTATATAAACACTTCAATTGAGGTTTAAAAAGAAATAAAAAATAGCAAACTTTGACTTGACAGGTCAGTAGAAAGATCCCTGCAAAACCTTTATTGCAATCCAAAATGTCAAAATGTATCCCCATAAAATTTTGGGCGGGTCATTCACTTGAGCATCGTTGCCACCGATAGGCTGGGAGTGGAATAGCAGAACAATTTCTAAACAATTTTCCTGCTCTATCTCTCCCGAGTATGTCATCTGTAAAAATATGTTAATTGTTGCGATGCATCATATTGAGATTCTCGTCCATTCTAAATGCGGAAACAGAAAGGCCTCTCCGATAGGAAGAAAAAAGGCCTTCCCAGGTGTGCATGCGTGTGCGTGAATGCGTTGCGTGAAAACAAGCTGATAACAATGTGTGTATGAGCTGCCTAATGTCACTCCCAGACTGTATGGCTTCCATCCAATTAGCCTGAAAGTACCTGCTCAACTCGGCCACATCTGCTCCTGCTGTTTGCTTGCTCCTTTTCTCATTTCCTCAAATGGACGTTCTCCCCCGCCCACCCCACAACCCTCATCGTCCTCCCCCGAGCTGATGAACGAGCGACGTATTGACCACCCTGACAGAGGCCGTATTTCTCCTCAAAGATGGAAACCGGATGGCGAAATGCAGATCAGACTGACTTAATTGAGCAGAATAATTGAGTCGGAGTGGAGGTTAAGTGAGGAGTTTTGCTGTTGTGGCATCCCCCCCACCCACCCCCCACCCCTCCTATTTTGGCTTCGCAGTCTAAATCTGGCGTTTCATCGAAAACAAACGTCAGCTTAATGGATGAATGCCCGGCAGGCGGATGGACAGCTCAGTTTAATGCTGGGGTGGAGAATCTGCAGCACGTGGGCCATATACATATACTACATCCATCTATCCATCCATTTTCCGATCCGCTTTATCCTCACAAGGGTCACGGGGGATGCTGGAGCCTATCCCAGCTGTCTCCCAGTAGGCGGGGGACATCCTGAAGTGGTTGCCAGCCAATCGCATGGCACACAGAGACAAATAACCATCCGCGCTCACACTCACACTGAGGGACAATTTGGAGTGTTCAATCAGCCCGCCATGCATGTTTTTGGAATGTGGGAGGAAACCGAAGTACCCGGAGAAAACCCACGCAGGGCTGGGGAGAAACATGCAAACTCCACACAGGAAGGCCGGAGCCGGGATCGAACCCGCACTGTAAGGTCGACGCGCTAACTAGTCGACCACCGGGCTGCCCCATATAATGCATTATTTTAGTTAAAAAAAAAAAAAAAAAAAAAAAACATACTGCATAGTTTACTGGAATAATAACAAAATATAGAGACTTTTTTTCCACAAAATATAGAATTATTTTTCCTCATTTTTTATTTTGCTGCGTTGACTACACACACACACACACACACTTAATGGATTTCCTCCTCATGCTTCAGTGCGCTGACTTTTGTATTTGTTACATATATAAAAAATATATGCAACTTTTTGGTTTGTTTGTTTGTTTGTTTTGCTGTGCTGACATTTCCCACTGATGCTTTGGTCAAGGGTGGCAAACTTGGGATGCCTGGTCAATTTGTCATGTCTGATATTTTTCAAGAAATGTGAAATGACATACAGTCACGTTCTGCAGCACAGAAGCACAGCAAAATGATTATTTCCCAATTTTTTAAATTTTTATTTATTTTTGTGGGGGGGAGGGGCCGTGTCGGGTAATTTTACTTAAATTCTTTCGAAACACCTGAAGGAGAAGGTAACATTTATGGGGTCGGGTGAAAGTTTATTTCAGTGGCAGATTTCTGTATCTTCCCCTCCCTCTCCTTCCAGTGGGCTCTGAGCCGCCACAGCTGTCCGTGTCGGAGGAAAGACATCTGGCCATCCTCACCGAGCTCCCTTTTGTTGTTCCCTTCGAGGAGCGAGTCAAGGTAACAACCACGCTACCCCCATGACGCTTGTTTCAGCTGGTGCGGAAAGCTGCTATCAACTCCCAAAGGCAAAAAAAAAAAAATGAAACGCACCGGAAAATAAGACGCAAATTCATTGTGATGCTAAAGCTGCTATTCAAAGGTCTTAAAAATATCCTCATGTGTGGAGCCAGCTGACAAGACAATTTTGAATTGAACTGTCGTAAAAGTAGCTTTTAAGTGCACGGCGCTGTTTTGATTTAATCTGGCGCCCACATTTAGTGAAATCCTAAATTTCAGCAAAATGGCCTTTCTTAAAATGAAGTTGGTGTCCCATTTTGAGAATGAACCTTTTCTGTGTCGTTCTAATTTTGAAGATGCCACGTCAGTGGTCTTGATTAAACGCTCCAATGTGGTGGCTTAGATTTTCCAGAGGTTAATCTACGCCGACAAGCGAGACGTACAGGGGGACGGGCCCTTCTCCAACGGCATTGTCGTCACCATCCGACGTAACTACATCTACGAAGACGCCTACGACAAACTCTCGCCGGAAAACGGTATGACCGTATTCCAATTATTATAATTATTATCCCCCCACCCCTTCCCTTTGCTGCCTACGACAAGGTGAAAACTGTTGCTTCGAATCCCGTCTGGCAGGACGGTGCAACCGCAGCGCTGTAAACATTCACATTCTTTCGAAAACTTGTTCAGCCCTATAAAATCTTTATATGGAGGATCGAGGTAAAAATCAAGGTTAGTTGCCCCCCCGTCACTGCGGCGCATTTTGTATTTCAAGTGCGGCACGCATAATCGTGCTTTGCGATTATTCTAATGGAAGACATAAAAGGCGGAATCAATTATTTTAAGTCACCTCTTTTGTGTTTTCAATTGAAAAGGCCACCCGAGCAGGCCCCCCACTGACCCCCTTCACTCTGATTAAAAAGAGTAGTAGGCTTGAAGGTACGATCTATATCATTTATGCGTCTATAAATTATAGCGACCCGATTTACCGACTTGCATTAATGATTCCGAAAGATGACCATTTATGGACGTTGATTAGAATATCCTGCGGGTCACACGTGCTGGAACTGGAAGGGTTTGTGAAAAATAAATGTTGAGGGGAGGGTGTTCAGTGTAAAAATATTTCTTTTTATTTGCATATTTTATATTGTATATTGTGAAGGAGTGGTGGATTAGTGGTTACCACCTCCGCCTCAGAGTTGGAATCCTGGCTCAAGCCTACCTATGTGGAATCAGGCTATTCCACATTCCAAAAACATGCACGTTCGTTTCACCGAAGACCAAATTGTCCAACGTGTAAATGCAAGTGTTTCTGTTTCGCTATACAGTGGTACCTCTACTTACGAAATTCATTGGTTCTGGAAGAAATTTCTTAACTCGAAAATGTTGTAAGTGGAGACGTGTTTTCCATGTAAATGCCCTAATCCGTTCCAAGCCCCCCAAAATTCAGACACAAATGTTTTATGACGCATAATAATGCATCAAAATATGGAACAAATACACATTACAATTAGATTTTTGCACAATAAAAGTTGTGCATAATGTAAAAATCAAAGAATAGAGTCAAGAATCAAAATGATGGTCGTTTAACTTTTAACTGCATCCTCATCGGGTTTTTTGCCCTCTTTAGCTCATGTTCTCTCTCAGAAGTGGTTGTTGCCTGGCGTTTTGTCAAGAACTCATCCAAGGACGTTTGCTTTTGTCGGCTTTTAACGAGTCTTCGAAAATGTCCAAGGTAAACATCAGCATAGTGAGCGATCGCCCAACTGATCGACACTTTTTCTGGGTGATTCACATTTACTGTACATCAAACTATCAGAACACCTCATGGCCCGAGGGGCGAATGACGAGGACGCTGCATCGACACCTGTCTATCTACCTACACACATTCACACATGCGGTAGAAGTCCCTCTTAGCCAATGGGATGCCAGGATGATGCTCGGTAATAGCCAATGGCAGAGCAGCTATAAGTATGTTGCATTCAGGAAACTGCGAGTAGCAGACCATACTATATTTTTACCTTTCGTATCTTGAAATTTCTTTCGTAACCAGAGGCAATATTTTCTTGTTGAGGCATTTCGTAACTTGAAAATTTCGTATGAAGAGATGTTACTAAGTGGAGGTACCACTGTATGTGCGTTATGATTGGCTGGCATCCAGTCCAGGCTGCACGCCCACAAAAAAACTGCCCACACAGTGACCTTCATGAGGACAAGTGCCGTCGAAGATGGACGGATGGATATTGTAACGGAAAATTTTCCAGATCAGTCTGCTTGCCGGCCGGATGTGATTCAACAATCATATCTTTTGGTGCAGCAGCATGTGGTTCATTAACCAAGATTATTCTCCCTGCACTCTGTTTCAAGTCACTGTCAATAATTGCTTGTCATCGCTAAAATTAGAACCAGACTTGAAGAAAAGAATCCGGGTGCACCTGCTGAACGCCCACGGTCTGGATGAGGCGGGTATCGACGGCGGCGGGATCTTCCGCGAGTTCCTCAATGAGCTCCTGAAGTCCGGGTTCAACCCCAACCAGGGGGTCTTCAAGACCACCAACGAGGGCCTGCTGTATCCCAACCCCGCCGCCGAGACACTGGTGGGGGAGTCCTTCGCGCGACACTACTACTTCCTCGGCAGGATCCTGGGAAAGGTGAGTCCTCAAACATTCGGTCTCAATTTGCAGCGTTTCGGGATTCCCAAACTGTGGGTGTGAGGAAAGGCTGGTGCGTGGCTTCAAAAATTCGGGTTATATGAAAGACGTATGAGCTGTTCTCTACTCAGAGAACTTGCAGAATCCTGATTTAAGAACTACGGTAAACTTTCAATCATTGCCAAGGCTGCCCTTGCTGTTAATTCTAGAAACTGCAGTGTTTGGAGAACTTCTCGTAATTTATAACTTTCAACAAAAAGTCAGAGGGAAGTGGAGCCTGATTGTTTGCCTGCATTTTTGTTTTTTGTATTCTCGGCTCCAGCCAAATTGTTTTAAATCATCCTTTAATGTGTGCGCTAGTTGATCAGAATAGCTTCCATGCTGGAGGACTCTCATCGCCACCCGAGACGAATGACGTACATCACGAACAAGAGGCCGCTTCTCAATTTTTTTTTTGGGGGGGGGGGGGTCCATTAGCCGATGATTCCCATTCTCTTGTTTGTGTAGCCGTCGCCGTTTTGACCGGTCCTAAATCAGTGCGCCGGCATAGACTGGGCGCATAAATAAGCGCTGAAGGCATGTGCTAATAGCCTTTTGATTTGGTTTACAGTCACGAACATCCAGCTTTCTCCTTTACATCCAACTTTTTTTTTTTTTTTTTTTACTGCAAGCAGAAACATGTTTGAAATGCGCTTTCTTACATACAATAAAATTACGATGAGAACTCCTCTTCAAAAAGGCAAATGAATAAAAGCCAGAAATTTGTGTGGTGGATAGATGCTGCGCTACCTCATGAAGTTAAAGTTTGCATGTCTTCAAAAGTTAGTGAAAGGCCGATCCTGTAGGGAAAAAAATATGCTTCATAACACAAGACTCCCCTCCGGATAATTTTTTTTCCGAGAAATGCGATCACGTGAAGGAAAATGGTGAAATCAGGCGCGATTACCGGTTTAGGTAAACATAAAAGCCACTTATCAGAGCATCAATTTTGTGTATTCTCTCCAACAGCCCCCCCACCCCACCATTCCTCTCATACGCCAACGCTAATGGTTGTGGAAATAAATGTGGGTTTGACTTTCAATTAACCCGACTTCAAGTTCCTCCCACTCTCCATAAAAATGGACGTCTGAGCGGCCATTTTGAGCGGGGCCCGTCGGTATTTGTTTAGTGGTCGGGATAAAAGGCAAAGCCTTTATATAGATTGGGATTGCATCACCGGCGCGGCTCAAAGGACACGGGAGATTAATATAGTTAATTAATGTCGGAGGCGTGCCATTGTTGCGGGGAGGTGATGCATTACAGGCGTGAGTGGCTTGTCTGGTGGGGGTACTCACCCAAATGGGATTGAGCATCACAAGCGGTGGCTGCTCGTCATCCTTCTTCCTCACTTGTCGACCCGAGTGACAGGCGGGAAGATTTAAGGCGCAAACATGAAAACAGGTTCCAGTGAAACCCCCGGTTATCACGGGGTTTGGTATCTTCCGGAACAACCCGCAGAAGATCAAAATCTGAGGCATCATTTTTTTTATACTGTCTAATTAGATATAGTCCAATCCCAGAATGCTTTTAAGTAGATTTACATTGACGAAAACACTCTTAACCTTTTCTAAAGTTGTTCTGCCTCTCTGCAGGTTTGCCCACACTTTTTGAGCATGCGAGCTACCGTATTTTCTGCACTATAAGGCGCTCCGTAGTATAAGGCTCACCTTCAATGAATGCCCCATTTTAAAACTGTTTTCATATATCGGGCACATTGCATTATAAGGCACATAGAATAGAAGTGACAATAGTGGCTGCGGTTGCGATATGCATCCACTAGATGGTGCTACGCTAAAGGAATACAATACAATGCAGCTTTAATTAGGTAGAGCCTTCGCAACCGCTGCAGGTTGTAACAAAGCAATGAGAACACATAGGAGAACACATAAAACACAACAGAATCATTGTAGTTTTCCATCCCTCCATCCATTTTCCGATCTGCTTATCCTCAGAAAGGTCGTGGGGGGTGCTGGAGCCAATCACAGGGCACACAGACGAACAACCATCCGCACTCACACTCACACCTAGGGACAATTTGGAGTGTCAAATCAGCCTGCCATGCATGTTTTTGAAATGTGGGAGGAAACCGGAGTACCCGGAGAAAACCCACGTACGCACGGGGGGAACATGCAAACTCCACGCAGGAAGGCCGGAGCTGGAATCGAAACCGGTACCTCTGCACTGTGAGGTCGACGCGCTAACCACTTGACCATCGGGCCACCCATTGTAGTTATATTTGGATATAAATAAAGCTGCCTTGCTTTGAATTTGCCTTTATGCAAATGCCACAGACAGGCTCTCGGAAATGAGTCGAGATTTTGTGGAGTGGTCATCATCTGCATATTCATACTTTTGCCAATCACAAATCTCTTTTTTTGTTTGTTTATTTGTAGTTCTCCTTCATTAGTCACGGAAAAAACTTTTTGGTGTGTTTTTGCGCTCAGCCCGAAGCAATTACGGTATCGCATTGCCGCCATCTTGTGGCACAGAATCAATCTTTTTCGAGATGGTGTCAATTGCGTGCACGGTCATTATAAAACTTCAAACAGGTGCTGCTTCTAACACACACACACACACACACACACACACACACACACACACACACACACACACACACGCACACACACACACACACACACACACAACATGCTACTACAACTTGTCCTTTTTCATTTTAAAAAACAAAATTGTATTGGAATGCGCCTCTTCAACTTTTTTTTTTTTTGCTCCCGAGC